TGTGTCACTTATTGGTGGTCTCAAGCCCCTGAGAACCACCCTGCGACTCAGCTTCCGCATGTGAAATGGGGTTATCACATTGCCCCACTTTACAGGCTTGTTTTGTAAGGGAAGGAGATAACACAGATCAAAGTCTACAGGCATTGGTGATCTTACTAGATAGCACTGAATTCCTGTCTATAAATGTATTGATTTACATATTTGCTGGCCCTGCAGAAAAATGCCCACCCCCCAATGACATCATGGTGGCAAAGCTTTGAATGTTTGCCTCAGTATCATTTTAATGTGCATCTCTCTGATTCCCAGCCAGGTTGGGCATCTGGGGTCGGGCTGTATGTGAAGTCTGGGCACAGTGGGGTGGGCATCCTGATTCCTGGAGGGCTGGTTTCCAAAAGGGTTAACAGGGAACTGGTTAACAGAGTGGGGGAGGCACAGAGAAACAGAACAAACCTGGCCTCTGTCTGCTGTGATTGCGACACCCCTTCTTTAGAAGAGGAGGGAGTACAAATAGACCTGCTTATTCTCCAGAATTGGAATTGAACTTCTGAAACTGGGGTAGGGTGCCTGCTAGGATCCCCCAACCCCCAATACTGCCTTTATTCCCTCCACTGGTGCCCACAAACTCCCACCCCACTTCCAGATGTTATTAAGCCTTGAGCTTTCAGGCTTTGTGGTTGGACAGCTTTGAGGAGTTCCTGGCCTGGCCTCTGTCTCCCTGCAAGGCCTGGTTCCTCCTTTCTCAGCGCCTCAGTGAATCCGTCTGAAGGACGAGAGGAGACTGATGACAGTCCCTGCTATTGAGACAATTAAAGGAACTGAGAGGCCCCTGAACCAGAGGGGGAGGGAAGGGGAGTGTGCAGCGAGGCACCCATTGGGAGGACAGAGGTGACAGGAGGGAGGCTTCTTGACTTTTGTGTGAAGTTTGGGAGGGGGACAGTGGGCAAGATAAGCCGGAAGGGAGGTGGGAGGGAAGGTGGCTTGTAAGGGGACTTCCACCTGGCCCAGCATTTGGGCACCGAGGGTGGTGGAGCCCGGCTGCCTGGATGACCTAAGTGGCCATCTGGGGACGAACTTTTACTAGCAAAGTACCTGTTATTTACTGAAACGTAAATTTAACTGGGCGCCCTGTATTTTGCCTGACTACACTAGCTGGGATGCAAGGAGAGAAGAGGAAGAAAGAGGGGAGGCCTAGGAACCCCCTCCACCCTACCCCTGCCTGGGAGCAGTGATCTCCCTGCTGCAGCCCACCCTTTCCCCACAGGCACTGCCAGGCCTGAAAATAGCAAGAAGCCCCCCTCACTCCTGGCCCCCCATTTCCAAGAAGGGTCCTTGCTACACTGCTTTCTGAGAGTTAGTTCCCCTCCTCAACCCACACCCAGGCCTCCCCCTGCCTAACCTGTAGCCTGGTCTAACCACACACCCCATTCATTACTCATTAACTCATAGGTAACCTTGACCTGATTGAATTAACCCATCTGCCCTGTGGCTCCTTCCCCCCATGCTTTCATGCACACTCAGCAGAGGACTGGGCACCATGGACCCGAATCCTGGGAGGACATGGTGGGCAGATTTTGATTCTAGCTTTGACTTCTCCCAGCCTGTTCCTGATCTGTACACTGGACATTCACAATCATGTACCTCCCTCCAGGTCAACAGGCAAGCAGATTGCTCAGCGTGGCACCCCACACGTAGCGACCGCTGGATGTGCTTGAAACAAATATTTAATTTTGGTAATACCTCCTCCTCCTCCTCCTTCTTGCCTGATGTCTTTGATACCCCCACAGGCCTCCTAGCCAGAGTCCTCCCTTCCTGCTTCTTTCTCGCCCTCCGTGTCCAGCCCTCACTGATCCCTGGACTGTCTCTCTGAGCCCATCCCTTCGCTTCACCCTGTGGTCCCTGGCTTCCCTGCTGTAGACTCATCTCTTCCAGTTCATCTACATCACATAAACTGGGACTTTCCCCCTAGAACACACCCTTGTATTCCCTCTGCAAAGTGAAGATGTATAATGCATGAAGATGTGCAGCCAACAGCAAAGTCTCCATGAGGTTCAGCTGGCAGTGTCTTGCCTATTTCATGCATCTGGTTTATTTCACATGCCATAGGTGCTATTTCTAGCCCCACATTATGAATGAAGAAACTGAGGGCTTTGGCACTTGCCCAAGATCCTCTAGCTGGAGCTGGTATTTGAACCAAAACAGCTGGACTCTGTGAATTTCTGACTGCTTCTGTAACAAATGACCACAGGTAGGTGGCTTACAAAAACATCTATTTATTATCTCACTAGTGGCCCAGTGTGCGAAATTGCACGTAGTATGCTGCCTGCCAGCCGGCGGGAGCTGCCACTGCTCGAGGGAGCCTGTGGGCGGAACTGAGAGTTTCTCCATGCATCTCCTGGTGACCAGTAGCGCACGCAGCCCTGCCCACCCACGCGCCTGCCGAGTACTGCAGTCTCCTCCTGATTGGTCTTTACTGTGTGATGACCATTTGCATATTAGCTCTTTATTATACAGGATAGTTCTGGATGGAGAAGTCTGAAATGGACAGGTCGGCAGGCTAGTTCCATCCAGAGGCTGTAGGGGAGAATCGGTTCCCTGTTCTTTCCAGCTTCTGGAAGCTTCCTGCATTCCTTGGCTCATAGCTCCTTCCTCCATCTACAAAGCACATATTCCAGGCTGTTTCCACCATCACATCTCATTCTCTGACCCTCATCCTGCTGCCTCCTTTTCAAGACCCTTGTGATGACATTGGGCCCACCTGAAGCATCCAGAATAGGCCCCCAATCTAAGACCCTTAACTTAATCATCTCTGCAAAGTGTCTTCTGTCATGAAATGTAACATATTCACAGGTTCTGGGATTA